AAAGCCTTGTCTCTAAACAAGCTATCAGTAGGCAAAAGTCTAAACCATGAAATTTGGTTATATCGTATCAGATTGATTTCAAATTAGGACCTGATGTAACCTTAGGTTATTGCTAGTAATTTGGATGTTGTTGTTGTTATTGTAACATAAGAATAATACTGTTGACCCTTGAAAAGCTTTATGTTCAGTATATTTTACAGCACTCTCTTGTGCAGTTCAGCTTGGAAATAAATCCTATTGTCCTATAGAACATGCTCCAGGCTAAGACTGTGATGCGTTTAAGCCTTAGCTTCTAAAAATACAAACTGAGCAAATATCACTTGCATCCTGAAATTAGCAAAATAGCAAAGGGATTTTGCATCCAAATTCTCCGCCATACCCTAACAATATTTATTTATATACATGGTGGCCATGACTGGACCTCAGCACATTGGTTGGCAGGACTGTGTATACAGATGGACTTTGTGCTTTGACAGATTATAGCCTATGTGGCCCTCGACTGCTTCACCCATTGCTATTAGAAACTGCTGTTAGATGAAGTCCTGCAACATGTGAAACCAACACAAAACTATTGGTGTTTAGTGTGCTGTATCCATCACTGGAGTGATGGATACAATACACTAAACAATGATGATGGTGCTCCATCTTTAGAAGATTTTTAGAATAGAATAGAATAGAATAGAATAGAATAGAATAGAATAGAATTCTTTATTGGCCAAGTGTGGTTGGACACACAAGGAGCTTGTCTCCGGTACGCAAGCTCTCAGTGTACATACAAGCAATATGATTTTCATGATCATAATCACCATAAAAATACATCATAAATCATAAAATGCCACACATTCATCATAAATCATAAGACAGTGATAGTCATAGGATACTAGCTAAGCAAACAACATAAATTATATTAAATACTAAATAAAACAATATAAACTGTAAGATACAAGCAATAAAGTTGTAGTCATAAGAACATAAGGATAGGTAACAGGAAAAATGAGAATAATAGCAGTACAGCTTTACTAAGTAGTTTGACAGTGTTGTAGTAATTAGTTGTTTAGCAGAGTGAAGGCATGGGGGAAAAAACTTGTGCCATTTGTCCAGAATGGTATAGGATTTCCTGCTTGGGGAGAGGGATTGGACTAGAAGACCTCCAAGGTCCCTTCCAACTCTGTTATTCTGTATGATCCCAGCTACTTGTGGGAGTAGTAAATTGTGATGCTTCTTTAATTTATTGCTATCAAAGTTAACAAGGAACATGATTAGCTAAGATAAGATAACCTTTATTGTCATTTTTTACTGTGGGCACAACGACACACATCAAAAATGAAATTTAGTTGCCCGCTCTCAAAGTGAAACACATACATGACACACACCTATACATAGTATATACAACCTATGTATAAACCTACACCCCTACATATACATAACATATGAATATTAAACACTGTCCATCCTGAATATATAACGGAAGGAGGAAGCTTGAGAGTTCACAAGGTTTATTCTGTATGGAACGAAACTGTGGCTGAATCTGGATGTTCTGCTTCAGATACCACGGAGCCCCCTCCTCCCAGAAGGTAACAAGGAAAACAAGGTTGTGAAGAGGATGGGTAGTGTCCCAGACGATTTTACGGACCCTGCTCAAGCAATGCTTCTGTGCTACGTCCTGGATGGGAGGGAGGGAGCTGCCAATGATCTTTTCAGCCATCCTCACCACTCTCTGCACCGCCTTCCTGTTTGAAGCAGGGATGCTTCCAAACCAGACTGTGATGCTGTATGACAGGATGCTCTCGATCGTCCCTCTGTAGAAAGTGGTAAGGACAGGGGAAGTGGGACTCTTCCCCCCCCCACCAGATAATCATCCGGAGGTCTTGAAAAATCAGCCTTCGTAATTCCTAGCTAATGTAGGCAGAAAATACATATAACCTGGGCTTTTCCCCCATCTCCGTTTATATATAATTCATAGCATGCATTTTTATTGTTAGAAATTGCATCATCTTCTCCATCTTTCCATCAACACAAGCTCATCCATATCTAACCCTTCCTGCCCAACCTAATCCAGTAACTGGCCAGGAAGGAAGGAGCAGTTTTCCACAGATCTGAACAGATTTACTGGCAGAGGGCTTTTGAAGAATGTTGAATAGTGCTTAATGTTAGCTGGTAAATCCTGCATCCCAAAGGATATAGGCTGTCCACCTTGTTTGAAGACAAACAATTGATGGTAGTTTTCTCCAGTATAGGAGCAAGGACTTACTCATTGTTCTTTAGCTTGGTTAAACATCCTCTGCAACCATCTGATTCCAAATGGGTCTTTGTTTCCGACATACTATGTCTCTTTCAATATCCCTCTATGCATCAGCATCTTTGAATGCACAAACTTAAGTATTGCTGTTATTTCTTTCCTTCCCTCAGGTGATTTGCCTATTTTTTTAAAGTCGGGATCCAAAACAATGTAAACCCTTGTTCAGGAAGTTCTAATTTGGTAATCTGATCAAGAAAGGAAGGCCTGGTATCTAAAGAAAGCAATTTCTCCTTTTAGCTTCAATTAGGAGAAACTTCCTGACAGTGAGGACAATCAACCAGTGGGACAGCTTATCCCCAGATATCATGGGCGCTCCATCACTGGAGATTTTTAAGAAGAGACTAGACAATGACCTGTCTGAGATGGAATAGGTTCTCCTGCTTGAGCAGGGGGCTGGACTAGAAGACCTCCAAGGTTCCTTCCATATTTCTATTCTATTCTATTCTATTCTATTCTATTCTATTCTATTCTATTCTGTTTGTAGTGAAATAGAACTTGAGTGGTGCTTGGCTTAGATAATGGAAGTCTCTTGCCCTTAGGAAGCTTGGAGGAAATCACACAGAGCACAAAGTGTACATTTTTGGGAAATGCCCCGGGGGATTCTGATACAGTGATGTGCTCAAACCTGCTAATGGTGGAGATCCAGGCGATTCCAAGATCAGAGGTTTTTTTGAAATCAACAAGAGCGGTAGACCATCAAGGACAGGCTACGTGGTTGAAGATCTGTCCTTCAGAATGGTCTCTGAAGTTTATTTCAGGGTTTTAAAAAGAAAGACTTAAAAATTGCTTCTCTAGGTTGCATTCTGTGAATGAAGTGCTGGATAACAGCACTGGCCAGAAGCATTTACGGTACCTACTGTACTTGTGGTTCAATATAGCATAGAGGTAGTCCTTGAATTATGACCAAATTTCTGTGGCTAAGCGAGACATTTGTTAAGTAAGTTTTGCCCCATTTTACGACCTGTCTTGAATCCCTGCAGTTGTTAAGGTAGTAGCACGATTGTGAAGTGAATCTGGATTTCCCCATTGACTTTACTTGTCAGAAGGTCATAAAAGGTGATCACATCACACTGGACCATCATAAATACGAGTGAGTTGCCAAGTGTCTGAATTTTGATCACGTGACCCTGGGGATCCTGCAATGGTCCTAAGTGTGAAAAACGGGCATAAGTCACTTTTTTCAGGGCTGTTGTAACTTCGAACGGTGACTAAACAAACTGTGGTAAGTTGAGGACGACCTGTATTCCTCTTCGTCCAGGAGTAACATTGGCAAACGTTGGAACAAACCACGATTGCAGAAAGAGGTTTGTTGCCTTTTAGGCCTTGCATGCAAGCAAGCAAGGTATTGTACGTCTCTGGTACTGTGTGACAATGTCTAAAAGCAGATTTAGAACTGGGTTGCACGTAGGTGAATGTTTCCCAATCGGCTTGATCCAGAAGAGGAAGTATTACTTTGTGGACAGCCAGGCTGCAGTTATTTAGGTGGAGAAACCCAACTTAAGCCAGAGGCCTTATATTTCTGCCAGGGCAAGAAGCTAAACTTGTACGTTAGGCTTTCGTTCCTTGTTTTTTTTTCCACAATTCATATTAATGGGAAGGAACCTTTTAACTTTTGGTTTTGTTTTGTGTTTCCAAAGAAGAAAAACTCGAGAAATGTTCTCTTGGCTTCAGAGTAGTTATTCTCGCATTTATTTCATTATAAATTGGCCACGGGGACTTTATGTATGAACATCCTGTACTTCAATGTATAATCATCTTTCCAGCATTTTCCCCTCTCCCTCCCTTTCCTTGGCTTCTCATCCTCCATTCAAGCTCAAGGGGAGGCTTCAGATCAGCAAGCACAGAGAGCCAATGAGGACTGCCCTGATGCTCCTGTTGGGAGTGCCTCTGATGGGAAGAGTTAGTTTAAAAAAAAAAAAAGAGCTTCCACATTGCAGTAAGAAAGACATTCAGGGCCAGCCCTACCACGGGGCAATTTGAAAATTGTGGTTGCAAAGGACAGATGTTGCAGCTCAGTCATGAAAGCATTCCTTTGTGGAATGGCACAATTGTGTGAGCCTTACAGCCTGTCCCAAATAGACCTCAGATGTGGTGGAAGCCCTTCTTGTATCATCAATATTCTTGAATGTTTCACTTGTTTGGTTGGTAATCTGGACCTAGAGCTGATGGAAAGGGCACCGTAATACTTTGACACAAGCTCCCAAATGTCTTGGGTAGTTTGCGTGGCATGTGCCAACAAATATTTTCCTGTTCACCTTCAACAATAAATACTTTGATATAGTATTAAGTTTGGGCGTCCTTTGAGCTACCCAGATGTGTTACTTATATGTTAGCAATATATCACGATACTAGAACACCTCTGAATTCACATATTATTTAAACCAGGGGTCTTCAAACTTGGCCCTTTTATGACGTATAGACTTCAACTCCCAGAATTCCTCAGCCAGCCTGCCTGGCTAAGGAATTCTGGGAGTTGAAGTCCACAAGTCATAAAAGGACCAAGTTTGAAGACCCCTGATTGAAACCATAATACTGTTGTTTCATTTTGGTCATGTGTGTTGGGTGAAAATTGTCTTTTGCTTATTGAACCATAGTTAAGGGACTCTCCATCATCCCTGGAGGGAAAACCTAGAAATTCAGGACTTTTGCAAAAAGCAGTTTATGGATTCCTGGTAATATCTTTTTCCTGGTTTGATTCTAGGGTTTGAAACAGGAAAATTTGGAGAAGTCAAAGAGTCCCTCTTCAGCAGATAAAGTTGGCTGGGTCAAGAAGAGCAGTGGAGGGCTTCTGAGTCTTTGGAAAGAGCGTTACATCCGGCTCAGTAAAACCCAACTCTTGGTATATGAAGATGAGGTAAGACAAGGGGAGAGAAAAATCTCAACAAACTCACGGACTTGTTCCAAACACAGAAATGGTCTTCCCTGGTGGTTTAAATTTGGTTTCTTCTCTGTCTTACTGGGAATGTTTCTTCTAATGTTAAAAGTTTAGGTCCAGAGACCATCTATTAAAGCATTGGATAGATCAAGGGTAGGCAACCTTGGCTCTTTTATGACTCGTGGACTTCAACTCCCAGAATTCCTGAGCCAGCCATGCTGAGGGGAAAGGGAGAGGTTTCCAAGCTGAGCCATGCTGGCTCAGGAATTCTGGGAGTTGAAGTCCACGAGTCACAAAAGAGCCAAGGTTGCCTACCCCTGGGATAGATAAAAGAAATACAGGTAGTCCTTGCAGAGTGATCACAGCTGGGACTGGCAAAACTTCATGCAACTGTGCCAGCCGCATGGAAATGTCTTCAGGGAATGCTGGTTCCCTCAGCTAAAAAATGGAGATGAGCATCGCCTCCTAGAATCGGTCACGACTGATCAGGGAATCCTTTCCCTTCATGAGGTTCCTAAGGCATGTAGTATAACTGGGCTAGTGTTTTTCTAGATGAGGGGGTCTAACTCTGAAGGATAACCCTTAAGGTTGGCTCTGTTGCCCTATTTGGCAAACCATGAAGATTGGGGAAACTGATTTGGAAGGACGATCACAGAATGGTTTGCAAGCTGAAAATGAAGAACATGAACAGGGTTCTTGGAAGTTGCCACTCATCATGAAGCAGTCAACTGAACAGGGAGATGATTCAGCTGGTTAGTTTTTTGGCCCACTGTGATGAAATGGATTTGGTTTAAATTTGTAGCCACTATTTTTAAGCATTCCTCTACGTGCATACTGTACACTGTACGATCTGAGATTATTTTTACACCCTCTTCGTAGTCGTCCTCTTCCTTCCTGGTGCTTCCTCTTTTCTTCTTGTTGAGCAACCCATGCCAATAACGACGAAAGATGTCAAGCAGAAAGAGGTTAACCCATCATCTCGGAATTGGAAACCTTTTCTCTCTGATGCTTACGATCACTAGGGGTTCTTTTTGAATAAGCGCAGGAGACAAAGTCTTCTCGGATTAACCTACTTTTCTCATATAATCGTTGGGCCCATTTGGAAGAGGGCAAACTTCATTCTACTGCTGTTCTTAATTATTTCAATTGATAGTTCTAGAGGATAATGGCCCTTTAAGCCTGGGATACTTAAGTCTGTCCATAGAGGTTCTCAGTCATCCAGGTCATAGTTATCCCAAAGGTGCTTTTTCACGAGGCAACTGGACTTTCTTGTTTTCCTTTGAAGACCTTTTGCTTCTCATCCAAGAAGCTTCTTCAGAGCTGAAGGAGCTTCTTGGATGAGAAGCGAAACATCTTCAAAGAAAAACAAGAAAGTCCAGTTGCTTCATGAAAAAGCACCTTTGGAATACTTAGTCCTGTGTTTATTCCCCTGTGTGAGATTTAGCAACTACCATCTTACCCATAGATGCATGCCACTCTTTTTTATTATTATTTCCTGCCCTTCTTTCACCTATAACTACGTGTGAATTATATTTATGGTTTAGCCAAGAAAGCGTTACATTTTGTACTTGCGAGGAACTAGATTTTAGAACATTAAAAGTTCCTGTCGCAGTATCTCTGCTGGCTGTTTGGGTGACCTGAAACACTTCACTGTTTTATGCAAGGTGCTTAATAAAATCATCCTTGGGATGATTAAAAGAGCGCCGGATGAAAATGTAGGATTGAAATATGCTCTATTTCACGTGTTGGTCAGAATTCTAAACTGCTTCCCTTCAGTGGTCAGTAAGAACAAGTTCAAGTGACGTTTTTTTAAACAAGAAAAATTAAATGTAATGGTATTCTTTGAACAAGATGGGGTGTCTTGCTTGTCTCCAACAGGAGTCCCAAGTAGGCCACATAGTGTGATACTCCAGAACATCACCTTTAAGTTTCCAAACTATTAACTAATTTTTTTTAGGTAGCTGGAAGTTGCTTAGGTCTGAGAAACGCAAAGCTGTGTGTGTGTGTGTGTGTCAAATTTGGCAAAATTACTCCCCCATGAATACTGTGTAAGATGAATCCTACTATATGCCTGTTCAATGTCCAATATATGGATCCATTGAAACTGGATTATAATACAACTGTGGCTTTGTGGTTTGGACATGATAGCTTGTTGTGTGTGTGAATGAATCGTTAGTGTAGATCCAAGCTGTCAGCTTCCAGATGTTTGGGTGGTTTGCCAGCCTAGTAGCCTTTTCTTGGCTAAAGTATCTATGTCCATGGTGGCATATACCTTGTTATTTTCCAGACTAGGTTCCTGTACTGGATGGTCTGCTGGACAACTTTTGGAAAGTATCAGAAAGATTCAATTCTGCCAATTATCAAAAATCATGATAGCTGGAAGCCACTTACCAGAAAGGCCGACATTTGTGGAAGGCTAATGTAGAGGACAACGATAGGCCTACCTCAGAATCGTAGTTTTCCCTCTTTTTAATCAGACAAAGAATCTCCATGTGTGGAATTGAGTTGCATTGATACCTTCAATGCAAACAAACACACAAAGGGATGCTGTTGTAGGTGGAATGAAATTCTGCCCGCATTACTCTTATATCCTCTTATTTGGGGAGGCTTTGCAACCTTCTAATTGTGCCGTTGAGAATATTTTACCCAACAGGTGGTACAAGACGGGGGACTTAGGATGGCACATGTTGACCCTGTTAGACCATTGCTGCTCTGAGCAGCCTCAACAAGGATGGCTCATGAAATATGTTAGAGCTGGTTGACCATTGCAGTGAGAGAGAAGCAGATGTAAAGCTTTTATTTATTTGTTTATTAAGCAAATTTACTGTCATGTGTCTGATTTACATAGCCACCCAATTCACACACAGGTGACTCTGGGGGGGGGGCAGTCTGGGTGACTCCAGAGATTGAGTTGAAGTGCAGCACAAACATAGATTTCCCTAGTCTGGAGTCAGTGTCTAACTTGCAGTGGTGTGTCACACCTCATGCTTTGCAGGAGAGAGAAAAAAAATGTAATATTGTCTCTTACAGGCGGAACAGAAATGTGTTGAGAGTCTTGAACTGGAGCATTACGATAGATGCCAAGATTTGCGAGCCCTCCTGAAAAGGAAAAACAGATTCATTTTAATCCATTCTCCAGGTTGCAAGGTACGAAGTCTTTTCTGTTCTATATGAAACTGATTCCTTCCTTCCTTCCTTCCTTCCTTCCCTCCCTCCCTCCCTCCCTCCCTCCCTCCCTCCCTCCCTGTATTTATTCTTTCCGATTTCCAAAGGAATGTTGGCAATTATATAACCAGCAGAATCTCTCTCTGAAAACATAACAGAACGGGACCAAATTTGGTGTTGAAAGAGATGCCACCATACAAAGGTTGAGTCTGAGAGGCTTAGGAGTGTGGAGAAAAACATTCCTGAAAAACAATCCACCAGTGTATCCCTAAGGAGTGCTGTCTTCCTAAGAACTCCTCCCTCTTGACTCAGAGTGAAGAATACATAAGCCTGCCTTTTGTTTCTTACATGTGCACCCAGATCCAACACAAAGAGAAAGCTTGGTTGCACAGAAGAAAATACAGATGTCTTTTCTGGCCACAACTGGAACAGGAAAGAATCCCAGAAACCATGTGCTCTGCATGCTTTCCATATGTATATGCTTTCATGAAGGTGTTGGTCAGTTCCTTTGTTGGCTTTTGGTTGAAGCAATGAAGGCTATGGCTTTTAGACATGACCACAAGATACTTTGTGGGACAACTTAACATTGTCAATGGTGATGCTCTGTGGAGCAACAGGCTCAATTTCTGACACAATTGCACTTGGGTAGTATATTCACTAGCATCCCACTTGTAGGAAGAAGTATAACTCGAAGGCATGGAATGGTTTGGATTTGATTGAACTTTGAAGGAGCACCTAGGAGTTACAACATGGTTCTGTTTCTCCATCTGCTGCACGGTTGGCCAAAGTCTTCCTCCCTTCAACCTATGGGGAAAAAACAGTGCGAAAATAATGCACTCAGGTGCTCAAACCAACTGGAAATATGCGGCTCCTAATTTTGCAGAATGAAAATAGTGTGGTTGCTTTCTTTGACGGTTGCAGAAATTATTGGATGAACCTAGATTTAAACTCTGGGAATCGGGCACTTTAGGTTTACAACCAGCTTAATTCTACAGAAGTTACACGAAGTGTCAGGCATGAAAAATCAGGACCATCTTTGATCTTTGGCTTTTTTTTTTTAATTTTTATTTTGCAATTTGCCCCATTCTCTATGAAGGTCAGCATATAGATCTAATTGTGATAGATCTTCACTCGTAAGGATTTGTCCTTAAATATTATGTGGGCTCCCATCTTCACTCCCTGGGACTGGAACAGTCTTGTGCTTATTATGATAATAATAAACAAGACTGGAACAATGTCTTCCAAACTTCTGTTCAGAGACAGCTCTATGTCACATCTGGAAGATCTTCAGATGTGGCCTTCTCCAGGGAACACATATCTTGGATAGACAGAAGAGTTTGAACCTTTGTAAGGCCTTTTCTGAAGTGCTCTTTTCTTTGGACATCTCAGTTACTTCTCTTTCATCTCCTGGACTATGCCATTGGCAGCCTCCTCCTGGATTGTATAACTGCATTCAACCAGGCAGCCAAGAACAGATAATCCAATAATGGAAAAATCATCACAGAATGAGCCAGTGATACAACTCTTTAACTATCTAAAGCCTACAACAAGGGCAAAAGTCTGATCATTCAGGCAAGACTCATTCCTGATTATGGAGAGAGAATATCCTACTCTGACTTCATGGGGGAAGCATGCTTCCTTGGGAAGGAACCAAGATCTCTCTCTTGCTCTCTTTTTTTCCCCTTTGTCCAAACAGAATCGGACCCTCCTATTTCCCCCCTCCCCCCCCATTGCTCTGCTTTCCAGCCAGCAACTTATTGTGGCAAAAAGCAAGTTTGATCAATTGAGACTGTGCTTAGAGTTTAAATTACTGTAAAAAAACAAAACCAAACCCTGCCCCTTGTGTTCAGTAGAGGCGCTATTGTAAGTGACTTTTTCTTTCTTTCTTTTTTTTAATAAGGGTGATTCCAGTTCAGTTGTTTGGGAGTTCAGAAAGAGCAGATGGCCATCCAACAAGTTTGGCTTCTCTACTTCCAATGAGACTGCTTACTAACTCCTCCCTTGCAGCAGCTGCAGCAAAAATAAAAATCGAGGGAGGAGAGAAGTTGCTTTACTCCACTGTAATCATTGGTGTGCCTGGCTCTGCCTTCTGCAAATTCAAGGTTGCATAACTTGTTCCGGCTCTTTGAGCGCATGTGGGCATCTCTACTCCAAAACCTGGGCTGGGCTGTAGCAAAAATCAAAATGGATTTCATTATGCTTTATCGAATCCTAACATCGTGTTGCTGAAAAGGGCCGTGAGCCCAGTGTTATGTACGCTGCTGTCTTGTGCTGCAGATAGAAAGGCAGGAATATAAAGCGAGTGAATGAATGAGGGCTAGAAGGTGCAAATGATCAGATCTGGCAAAATTTTGGATTGATACCCATTCAGTTGCAAATGGGTGGGATATACAGTCGATGGCAGAGATTATCTTATCCAAATCATTTCTTTCTTTCTATTTTTAACAAAATAATAGAATAACGCAGTTAGAAGGGACCTTGGAGGTCTTCTAGTCCAGCCCCCTGCTCAGCCAAGAAACCCTTTAACATTTCAGACAAATGGCTGTCCAATCTCTTCTTAAAAGTCTCCAGTGTTGGAGCATCCGCAACTTCTGAAGGCAAGCCGTTCCACTAGTTAATTGTTCTCACAGTCGGGAAATTTCTCCTTAGTTCTAGGTTGGTTCCGTCCATGATTGTTTTCCATCTATTGCTGACTAAGATTAGGTTGCAATCCTCCCTTACTGTGAAGATAAAAGGGGAGAGGGCAAAAGACAGAGGACTACATTTCTGTATTAAGCCTGGGCATTGATTTGTTCTCCCTATTTCAGGGGTCTTCAAACTTGGCCCTTTTATGACTTGTGGACGTCAACTCCCAGAATTCCTCAGTCAGGCACACGCTGGCTGAGGAATTCTGGAAGTTGAAGTCCGCACGTCATAAAAGGGCCAAGTTTGAAGACCCCTGCCCCTATTTCATGAAACATGATTTGTTCTCTCTCTCTCTCTCTCCCTCCCTCCCTCCCTCCCTCCCTCCCTCTCTCTCTCTCTCTCTCTCTCTCTCTCACACACACACACACACACACACTCCCCCCTCTCCTTCCCTCCCTCCTATCCTTGCAAGCTATTTTTCCTTGGCATACTTTGGTTCATTCCCTTGTGTTGATGACAAAAATGATGCGTTGGTGCCAGTGCAATTGCTGTACTGGAACATTTATTCCATGAGTGATTTTTGCAAGATCAGGTGTTTTTACATCGCTTGGATTAATGATAGCCCTTGATCTTCTACGGATGAGGTTGTGCCTTTTGGTTATTGGCTTGAATCCGAGAGAGAAGATACAGTTTGTTTCTCCTGAAACACCCCATTCCTCATCCTGCACCATTCTCACAATCACGAAAAGCATTTGGTTTTTTTTCTGGAAACATGAGCTACAGAGTCTAATTCCATTCATTCATGGAATCCAAACGTTGATTTTAACAGCTGTTAATTGCTTTTGATTTGCCTTTTAGCAGAAAAGCTGGGTATCAATGGGTTTAAATTATAAATGTCCATTGGCTCCATCCCTTTCTTTCAAGGATCTCATCGACATACTTGGCTGGTGGCCTACAGCAGCTTTCCCCAGTTTAGGGCTCCGCAGACGCGTTGTGACTTTTTGTTTCAAGCGTCTGGGTGGAGAAAGCTGGAGCATGATGGAGAAAGTGGTTTGCAGTCTCCAAATCTCAGTTTTAGAAACGTTCGATATTTGCACCTTTCCAAAAGTTCAGTATCCTTCAGCGTTTCCAAAGATCAGGGGCACTGTTACCCTATGTTTGCCAAGCATAATTTTAAAAAGTGGTGTTTTCCCTCTTAAAGAGCCGTGGTGGCGCAGTGGTTAGAATGCAGTACTGCAGGCTACTTCTGTTGACTGCCGGCTGCCTGCAGTTTAGCAGTTCGATCCCGACAGGGCTCAAGGTTGACTCAGCCTTCCATCCTTCCGAGGTCGGTAAAATGACGACCCAGATTGTTGGGGGCAATAGGCTGACTCCATAAACCGCTTAGAGAGGGCTGTCAAGCACTGTGAAGCGGTATATAAGTCTAAGTGCTAGTGCGATTTCTATTAAAAAAATGGTTTCACATAATTACAGAATAGCCTCAGACTCCTTAAAACCCAGAAGGGGGGGGGAACACGCTTCCTACAAATTGTGACATTATCTTGGCCAGAGAAGGTGTCTCCAACTTGTTCATTGCAGACCTCTGGCAGCAAATAAACGTTAAGATGTCCATCCTGGTTATTTGTCTGGGTTGGACAACCTCTGCAGGTGAGAACCACAATGGATGGAGTGATGACCTAAGCAGGCATGGTCAAGATTTTATTTTTCATAATTCTAGGTGCGTGGAGTCTTTTAAAAAAGGCTACTTTAAGCCTGATTTGAGGCTTACCCCACAGTTCTTAGGTATTTCTCGGCTTAGAGCAGCAAAAAGACACTACACATTTTAGTTTTCATTTGCTTTGGTCAGAGCTGACTCACAAATCTTCGGGTAGATCGGAAGGCAGATAATTGTTTCATCAAATCATGCCTATTATCCTGCATCTGGGCTGTTCCAGATCCGTTCTCCTGCCCTGATCTACATCATAAGAAAATCTTTCCCTGGGGGAAACTGGATAGCACCAGCTGGTATTGCAAATAATTATTGTTATTTTTTTTTGTAGTGAAACCTGAATGACTTTCAGGCAAACTCTCCTCCTGTTTTTTTTTCTGCTTAGGTGCAAGATATCAAATTCCAGGCATCGACCACAGAAGAAAAGGAATTGTGGATGAAAGCATTCAATGATGGCATCAGCCGAGGAAAGAATAAGATATTTGATGAGGTCAGTGGCAGGTCTTAGCTTCAGGTTGCTCCTAACTTTGCTGTAAGTTTGTATGTTCATGAAGATTGAATCATCCAGGCCAAGGGTGTCTAAAAGTTGAATCATGGCAACTGGACCAAATTTTGTTAATCTGAGACGTTTTGTTGCTCCTCCAAGCAACTTCATCGGTCAGAGTAAAAATTAGGCAGAGAATCAGAGGGTCACTGGAACGTACCGGTACCAACCCTTAATGTAAGGACCCACCCCACTTTACATCTTAAGAAGACAGAACTCTTGAAATATCTCTTCCAACAGGCATCTTTATTAAGAGAAGATGGTTGCAGGCATTCTAGATAGGATCTGAGGGGCCAACCCCTACCATTCAAGGTTTTAAGTGTTCCCAAGCAGCCCCCACCCCACCGTCCTTCCAGCGACAATCCCAGGCCATATTGTTATGGAGAGCCATAAAACCCCTTTGCTCATCCCCTTTCCCCTTCGTAGTATGACAGAATCCAGAGAGGGCAGAAATGGGGTTTTCCATAGTCGATAACTAGAAATGAAATATAATTGGATTCTGACACTTGCTACACCAACTTCAGGGGTTTCTCCCCCAAATGAGTTGCAATATGTTTTTACTCTGACTGATAAAGTTCCTTGGAGGAGCAACAAAACCTCTCAGATTAACAAAGTTTGCTGCAAGTTGTTCCATTCCCTATACATTATATAAGAACAGGATGGGTAAAATATATTGACCCATGAGGAGAGAGAAAGTTGTAGAAAGACGTGATGGTACTCTAGCACTGATGATGTTATCTAGTTGGGTAATGAAAAAGTCTGCAAGAAAACAACCATGTTCAGACAGCACCAAGGACCGTCCGGTACATTTCTGCAAAACCAAGTATATTTCCATAAACCCATCAGATTTTTTCTTTTCATTCAAATGTTTGAAAATCGACAGCTCCAACACTCTTAACCAGGGGTCTTCAAATTTGTGGACTTCAACTCCCAGGATTCCTCAGCTGAGGAATTCTGGGAGCTGAAGTCCACAAGTCATAAAAGGGCCCAGTTTGAAGACACTTGCTCTTAACAGTTGGGTGACCAGAGGATCTGCATATAGAAACTGAGGAGGAGACTGAAGCCACCAGGTCCTAATTTATTCACCCATGGGTGGAAAGAGACAGAGGCAAAAGAAGATCAGCTTGAAAGAAATGAGAGCTTAAAAAGAGGAAAAAATGGTGACTGTAAAAGAGAGCCATGGGTGAGGCGTAGAGGGGTGCTGAAATGAAGTTGTGGTTCGGTGGCTTTTCAGACTTCCTGGCTTCAGGGAACTGCCTTCCTGCATTGACTTGCTGCAAACCAGGCTGTGCTTCTGCTGCAGAACCCAAACAGGTTCTACAGAAGACTGGATAGGAAAGGAGAGAGTTTTTCAAACCTGTCTCCTCCATCTTGGTGCCCATGGGATATTCTGGATTAGCCTGAAGGCAGGACAAGAAGCAACGGATGGAAACTGATCAAGGAGAGAAGCAACCTAGAACTAAGGAGAAACTTCCTGACAGTTAGAACAATTAACCCCAGTGGAACAACCTGCCTCCAGAAGCGGTGAATGCTCCAACACTGGAAGTTTTTAAGAAGAGACTGGACAGCCATTTGTCCGAAATGGTGTAGGGTTTCCTTCCTGAGCAGGGGGTTGGACTAGATGACCACCAAGGTCCCTTCCAACTTCATTATTATTATTATTATTATTAGATGGTTGAGATCCAAGACATCTGAAGAGCATTAGAGTGGGGAAAGGGAAGAACTTTGTCAAGGACAGGGGAAGTGACAGAGATCTGGTAGGCCATCTGGACACGTGTGTCTGGCAGACTCCTGGCTTTTCCAGCTTAATCCTGTCCAGATTCTGAAGATCTTTTTTTTCCCCCTTCCTTCATAAACTCTTCTTAAGTTCTAGGTAGCGCTACATGTCCGCCCACCCCCTACCAGAGGATCACTGTGACTGCTAAAAATCACCACGGTGGCTTCTCACAATTTTAACAAGGGCAGAGACTCACAGGTAGTCCTCGACTTACCACTGTTCATTGAGTGACCGTTCGAAGTTACGACGGCCCTGAAAAGAAGCGACCTAGGGTTGTTTTTCGCACGTGCGACCGTTGCAGCCTTCCCGTGGACGTGGGATCAAAATTCAGAAGCTGGTCAACTGGCACGTATTTATGATGGTCATGTGATCCCCTTCGGCAACCTTCTGTTGAGCAAAGTCAGTAGGGAAATCTAGATTCACTTAACAACCGTGTGACTAATTTAACAACTGCAGTGATTCGCGTAACCAACTGCAGCAGGGAAGGTCATAAAATGGGACAAAACTCCCTTAAAAAATGCCTCACTTAGCAACAGGTTAGGCGCTCAGTGGTGGTCGTAAGCCGAGGAACTGCGTGTAGGCTGGAACACTGCATGAAAAGCCCCAACCCAGAGGAGATGTGATTCCATCTACTGAAGTGTTTGCCTTCCAGATTGCCTTCAGTCTCCTTCTGTCAAAAGCCAGCCGTTGCATTAACGAGTGGAGTTGTGCTTTGCATCTTCCGGGGTATCCAAGGGAGATGGTTTGTTTTGGCCAGAGAAGCTTTGACGTTGATTGGGCCTTCCTGGCCTGGACTACCAATGATTCTGGCAAAGGAATGTCAACTCTGAATGAACTTCTCTAGCGTCTGCTTCCTTCCACTTCCCTCTTTCTCCCTTTCTTGCGTTCTTTCTCCTTTTTGGTCTCGCCATTTAAACCCAAGGCTGTCCGAGCAAAGCGTTCTGGGTCTCTTTTTATGGCTGAGAGGGGAAGTGGGTCATCCGATGGATCCGAGTCGGGTACCTGCTCGCTCTCTCGTTTTCACAACGGCTGCAAGGAGGTGGCTTGTTCTGCCTCCTTCCAGAAGAACTGGATTGTCATGGAGTGTCGCGTTAGGAAGAGGTTGCTTGTCTTTCACATTGAGTTCTGCAGGCAGTGTGCCAAATTGTGCTTGTGAGGGGCGGGGGAGAGGAGCTGGGAACAGCAAACTAATTGCATTTGCCTTGCAAATCTAGGGTGGAGAGAAGAGGAAGGCAGAATTTGAGCCGCTTGTGGTCTCGTGTTACCCAGGAAGGAGATATTGGAAGAGTCATGTCATTGGGTGATATTGGCGGCCTTAAGTGGAGTCGGTGGACTAGGGTAGAGCCAGGGACTTTGGAGCTGAGGATGCCCTGAGGTAGTCCTCCATTTACGACCACAATTGAGCCCGACATTTCTCTTGCTAAGAGAAACATTTGTTTAAGGGAGTTTTGCCCCATTTGACGATCTTTCTCGCCACAATTCTTAAGCAAATCGCTGCAGGGGTTTAAGTTAGTAACATGCTTGTTAAGCGAACCTGGCTTCCCGTTGGCCGAAAGTCGCAAAAGGGCGATCACGTGACACTCCTCCCCCGGAGACTGCAACCGTCATAAACATGAACGTGTTGTATGAATCCAGCTTGGTTGGTTGGTTAATGGTTCAGAGATTGAGCCAAATCTTACAACATTGGGACGATAACCCGTCTTTTGCAACATATCTCCAAGCGTAGTATGTACTTTCTTGGATTAGTTTGTTTATCACAAATCTCAACAGAGTTGAGTTCAAGATTGCAAAAGTTGATTCACAGAATTGTCTGTTTGATTTAGTCTTGCCTTAGTGAAAATACAGCCAGAGTGGGTTGTAAACCAAGGTTTGTGGATTGGCAAAATAAAGGTTTATGGATTGGCAAAATAAAAAGTCATATCTGGCCTGTATTGGTTAATAAACCACAATTATCTGGCTTTCTGTAATAAACCACAGTGGGTAAGTTTTCGCATGATCTGAAGCCAAAAACATGCTAGGATTTGTTGTACAGATTAAAGGAATGATTCAACCTCTTGTGTATTTTTTAGTTTGGAAGGCGGAACTGTGAAATGCTTGTTTTGAGTCATTTATGGCAGAGGTCCCCAACCTTGGTCACTTTATGACTCCTGGACTTCAATTCCCAGAATTCCTCAACCAACATAGCTGGCTGAGGAATTCTGGGAGTTGAAGTCCACAAGTCATAAAGTGGCCAAGGTTGGGGACCTCTGATTTATGGGATTAAAACAAGAGTGAACTAGGGAGTGACATGATAGCAGGGCAAGAAGTAACGAATGGAAGACCATCAAAGAGAGATCCAATCTACAATTATGGATAAATTTCCTAAGAACAATTAGTGGAATGGTTGCCTCCAGAAGTTGTGGTGGAAGTTTTCAAGAAGAAACTGGACAACCATTTGTATGGAATGGAACAGGGTCTTCTGCTTGGTCAGGGGGTTGGATTAGAAGACTTCCTAAGTCCCTTCCAACTGTTATCCGGTTATTCTGATCTCAGTCTTTTTCTATTTTCTCTCCCATTTAAAGGTAAAAGTGGATGAGAGTCTTTCTTTGGATCACGTAACTCGAGGCAGAGCCAAGATAGTGAAGGGCCGTCGTCCGCCAACCAGAAGCCATTTGAAAGAGGTAAGGAGTGAGGTTACCACCAAACCAATGTGGTTTTTATATTATTTAATCAGAATACTCCTTTATCATTTATTCAGCAACATTCCAATCTATATTTTGTGCTCTTCTGTTTTGCTATTTCTCATCACAATATTCACCCCCAGCTAATTTTGATTTTAGATTGGATTTGTGACAGGTATGATTATTTGAAATAATTACACGTGCCAGCTATACATGTCCGTGAATTATTTCAATTGAGGTTGAATCCTCTAGTATGAATAATTTGTTCTGTACTCAACACTGGTATTTCTTAGCTGTTTTTTAACAACGTTTCAAAGAAGCACAATTATTAAACGTCCTAAAGAAATCATGATTAAATATTAAAATGCAGAACAAACAGTAGGCTGGGAAGAGAAGATTAAATATTAAACCCAGAAGAAGCAGAAGGCTGAGACAAGATTATTACAAACTGGTTCCTCACTCACAGAGGAACTGAATGAACTTCTTAGCCTTGGGGGAGAGTTCCAAAGCGTGGGTATAGCTACAGAAAAGTCCCGGTGTTGTGTCACCATCATCTAGAACTCTAATAGTTGTAGACCAAAGAAGACTTGTCCCTAATATTTGGGGAGACTTTTAGTGGGAGAGAAGGCTTTGGTGTTATCAGATAGGTAGACGATAGGCAGGCAGTCAGGCAAGCAGAGACAGACAGACACAGACAGACAGATTGATAGATATTGATAGATATTGATAGATGATAGAAGATAGATAGATGACCTACGACTGAATTGAGCCTGGAATTATAATAGTAGATTGTTGTAAGTCAAGGGTCATTTGATTGGATACATCCCCAACATTATTTACGACAGGTTGTTAAGTGGACACCATGGTCATCAAGCGAATCGTTTTCCCCAATGGGCGTTTTTACTCGAAACCAGAAGTAAATGATGGAAATTGGCAAAAAAAACATTGCAAATCACAGTCACATGACTTTGGGATGCTGCAAACAGCCCTAAAGGTGAACTGGTTGCCAAGCATCCAGAATATGATCATGTGACTGGGATGTGTGTGTGTGTGGAGGGCTGTCCTACCTCTGAAAACGGGTTGTAAGTAGGTCTGGGTAGATCTGTCATAACTTTGAAGAGTTGTTAAGCAACCAGTCGTAAATCAAAGAGTAGCTGTAGTTAACACTGAATGTGGAGATAGCATGAACCAAGTCTCTCTCCTGTACCAATTCTCCCATTTCTCTAAAGGAGTTTCTGTTTGTAGCTGTTTGTAGCTCAGCTTGCAGAGTTTTCCTCAAGCAAAACAACGGCCACCCAGATTAGGTCTAGCAACAGCCTCGTTCTCAGCCTAATAACAAGGAATTCTATCCACCTAGGGCTCAACAGAAGAGAGGATGTAGGCCCAAGAAGTCTATCATACGGAACAAAGCCCCACATTCTGGTACCTGTTTCCAAGAGCATGCGATCATATTTGGACTGCAAAACTCCAGATGACCACCAGCAGGCAGCATAGAGCAAGACATTGCCATCTGAGGGTTGTCTGGATTTTTGTTTCCCCATCACTTACACATGGTAGCCTAAGGAAAGGATAAAGATAGGTTCCCGCTCCATCAATCCCATGTAGGAGTCCTCCATGGGGGCTCATTGAGTGAACTGCCATGAAGGTAGGAGAATCTCTTCTGCTGACAATAGTGTAATAGTTAAAAAAAACAACCCATGCATGGTAGTCATTCTGAAATTGCAAGACACGTAGGGTGTTTGAAGCTGTTTTAAGTCGTTTCTCGTTGTGTGGCCAGTAGCTTTCATTCTTCAACAATTATGGACTTGAGCACTGATTCTGAGATCTCTCTCATTTGCTTTCCTACTTAGGTGGCTAGTTCAACGTCAGATGGGATCCTGAGACTTGATTTAGAGGTACCAGACAGTGGACCCCCAAACAGCATCCCAGTGTCCCGTGAAACTGCTGATGCCCCCCCTCCAAAGGAGGTTCATAAACCTCCCATGCCCCCCGCAAAAGTGCCCATGCCTCCCACGGACAACCTAAGTGCCAATCCTACCCCAGAAGATCCGCAGGTCAGGAAGCCACCGATGCCTCCAGCTAAACCTCTTAAGGAAGTAGCAACATCCAGCGAAACGGTGAACTCTGTAGAAATAAGTGATGCGGAAGAGGACAAGTGTGAGGACTCTGAAGGGACTCCAGCTGAAGAGGATTTGGTGGAAACCAAACCTCCAGTACCTCCTCCAAAGATTTTATCTGACAAAATGAAGGTGGGATGGGACCGTCCAGGTTCTGAACTTCACGACGTTGAAGCTGAGAACTCCCCTGGATTAAACGAGGAAGCAGTCAAACCACCGACTCCTCCTCCTAAGGTTTTTAGAGCCAGCTTGAGCTCTAAGGAGAACGACGCACAGGTAGACATTGCTGAAGGGGATCGGCAGCCTGATGGAGACTCAAACCTTGACGTCAACGGCGTTGATGACAACGGAACAACGGAACCTGTTTTCCCAAATGGGAAGGAGCAGGACGAGTCTTCCTCAGAGCAAGGAACCAAGAAAGAGGTGTTGAGCCTGCCTTCTGAAGATCAGGTTGACATAGTGGAGCCCGTGGGAGGTTCTCCGGCAACGAAGCCTCGCAGCTCCTCTCTGGGGGCCTTGCTTTCAGAATCGCCCAAAAAGCCTCCTCCACGGCCAGATTTCCAGAAGATGTCTATATTCCACGTGGCACAGATGGAGAAGAAAATTGCTCATGAAAAGGAACAAACTGAAAAGCTCCTGCAGAAGGTTCAGGTTGAAGAGCTGGAGCAAGCCCAGAAGGACCAAGGGCCTTCAGCGGATGCAAAGGAGCTGCTCAACGAAGCAAGCGAGCAACTCCGGCAAGCCACCCAGGTCTTGCAAGAGGTCAAAGATTTAGGGGAACTGAGAAGGGAACCTACCGGTTTGCGTAAAGGAGTCCCAAAGGACCTAGTGACTGTTTATAGGAGAAGCGCTCCTTAAGAAGGAACAGAATTCTGAATTGTGACTCAGACAAAAGGTAGCGGCACCATTTCCACCAGGCTACCAGATCGGTGTTTTAAAGATGGATGGAGAGAGGGCGGCAGCTGAGTCTTATTAAGTGTTGCTTATTTTCACACTGCCCCTTTTTGTAATCTCAGAATGTGGACTGGATCCTGCTGGGCAGGGTGTGCTAGAGAGGGATCTGGGTGGGGACCTCAGGGAAAGATCTGTTTTTGGAAGACAAGTGGTCACTGGAAGCCATAGGGACTTCCTTCCTTTAGGGGCACCTAAAACAATTCAAATGCAAAAGAGTTTTGAGTGTGCCACCACCATTTTCTGAGGCCTTTCCAACTGGATGGAAGCCTCTTGCAAGCTCAGGATAGAGAGCTTTGTGTTTAAGGCAGTGTGCCCTTTGGGGCTCGGAGCACGTCAAGTGGGAGCAGGGAGGTTGAATTTCCCACCCAGCCTGGAATATTTCAGGTTAGGAAAGATTTGTGCACTCCTGGGTTCCTGTCCTTCTGCTTTGTTTTCTCTCCCTCCCTCTCTCTTATGATGAATTTGCAAAGGATGAGACCTTAGTGGGCTGGGTCTGGAATGAGGCTGTAGCACTTTCTAATCCTTTTTTGGTTTAACTCAGGGTTAATGTAGGGGGGAACATGGGGGAGGGTGGGTCTGAAGCAAACAGTTGGGTGGGGTCTTCTTTGATACGCTTTTTTCCCTCTTGTGATGCTCCCCTCTTCTTCCTGGCTCTCCTTTTTCTTGAATGGCTCTGTTGCAGAAAGCTTTCTGCATCTCCCATTCCAGCTTTTATTTATTTGTCCCAAGCCTTGCAAGTGGTGGCAATTTCTGCGCTCAAAAACAAGCACACTGACCACCAAGATAGCCCGTGGTGTTTTGGTGAGGCTCCCAATAAGGTAGAATTTGCTGTTGGGCGGGTGGTTTCTGCTCTGGCTGTCCTTCCAAGGACCAAATTGAACTACAGCATCAGATTGCAGATCTGAAACCATCCTCGTTTGTACATCGCTCACTCGCTTGGTGTCGGCTTGACATGTCATGTGTTGCCCACCTCTGGTGGCCGATTGAACAAACGATGGTTGTGCAAAGGGTGCCTTACCACAGCATGGGAACCTGATCAAGGTCTTCAGCGAGTCGTACTGGCAAGGAGCCCAGTAAGACCTCCATTTTTATTTTTATTATTATTATTATTTTTTTGCCAGGCTGACTTTTCATTCATTTGTGAAGAATAGACACAACATATATTGGAGACTCTGTATGAGTCTATCACAGGTTCCAGTTTATGCTACATCTCCCGGCTCATTTGAATAGAAAACATACATAAACACAGTGGAGGCCATAGACTCCCCCCCCATTATGCAGTGGCATTCGTCTTGGTAACTCTACCAACTTTGGGGAAATGATTTGGGAAAATGTCACTTGTCTGAAATGGCATAGGTTCTTCTCCCTTGTCTGAAGTGTTATAGGTTCTCCTGCTTGAGCAAGGGGCTGGACTAGAAGACCTCCAAGATCCCTTCCAGCTCTATTCTATTTTGCAATTGTGAGGTGGGTGTATATGTGTTCCTACGGTTCCTTTTTGTTGCTTCTAAACTGGCTGATAGCTACGCACATCAGGCAGACCAAAGGCCAGTGCATAGACCGTGGGTTAGGGTAAAGTATGAATTCTATCCTGAACACAGCCTCCCTTCATAGATTAGTGCAGCCACGCGTGCCTGGCTGAGGAATTCTGGGAGTTGAAGTCCACAAGTCATAAAAGGGCCAAGTTTGAAGACGACCCCTGGATTAGTGTATTGTATTTTATTCGTGACATTAATAAGCTTCCTTTCAGTTGAGCTGATGGCTTTTTAACTCTGGAGATGACCACATTTTTACAACTTGGAAAATTGACATGATGACCAATATTTTCCTATCCTTCAGATGTCTTTAAAAAAAAAAAGGACGAGCATAAAACTGGTACCCAATCATTAAATAAGCAGCTGGGAAGAAACATTTTGCAAACCCAGGCAGGATGGAAATAATGGCACTTAGTGCCTTCTGCTCTGGGCTGGTTTCCTGAAGGGTCCTTGGAGACCTGGCTGAATTCATCACAGGACTGTTCCTGCAAGAAAAAATAAAAAGAGGAAGATGAGTAAAAGGAACAGCAGATGTCTTCCTTTGATCTAAGGCGATTGGGACCGTGTCATCCTGGTACATCTTGCAGCTGGCTCACCGTGGCCTGGTTCGCATTTTGCACTGAGGAATGGTATGGTTGGTTTGCCTTCGCCTGCTCTGTTAACCCAGCCAGTTGTGGTTTATTCAACAAGCCATGGTTTACTGCCATTTGGAAGCCTAACCCCTGAGAGGCGTAAATCGTTGCTTAGGGCAGACAAATACAAATTTTGAGGCTAGGAGCCATGCCCTAAAATGGGCAGAGTCAGGACAAAAAGGTTTGGGATTAGATGAAAGGTTAATATCAAACTGAATACAGTCAGTGGGACTTCTCCCCTTGTATTTAACATTTATTTCCTTTTCTCCTATTAAGAATGAAAAGTTGGCAAGTTGTGGAGAAGCCCTAGGAATCTCCTAAAGGCCCTTTATGTGGTGCCAGTTGGGCTTCCTTGATTCCTAGCTTGGCAGTAGGCCAGCTGCCTATGGCTTGTTCAGGAAACCTCAGTTGAGCCCCATGGCAACGTAATGTGATGGCATCAAATCAAATGCGTGTCCCCTTTTTTAATTCCAGCAAGAGAGGAAGCTTCATGGGCAGATGATTTGGGACAAGTCAAAGACCTCTGGCGTCACCTTAAATAATATTTTTCTGGAAAATCAGTCTGTTTCCCAGCTGAACTAAAACCATCTCCACACTCAAGAGCCATTGCATGCTTTCATAATCTCCATCACTGAGCCATTGGAAGCCATCACCTTTATTGGTTGTTCTCAGGTTTTCGCTCTGCGCTCTGTCTCGGTGTCCTTTTTTGCTCTTAAAACCTTGGTTTGCATGCAGCTGAAATCCTGGCTTAAGCTGCCTTTTGAGCATCTGGGACCACTGAACAGTTGCCGGGGCAGACTTCCACAACAGGGTAATAATTGGGTGGTCTTCAACTCCACTGGTGTTTTTGTAGGCAGGGTTGCCCATGTTAACTTCCCGGCAGACTGGGGTGGAGAAGTTCCATGGACAACTTACAAATAAACTGCTGTTCAATAAACACGACTCCAGGCCTAGTTGCTCCCTAGATCTGCTTCTGCAAGAAGACCTTGAAAACATCACGCCTTTCTGATTTGAATAGTTGCTGAACGCTCTCAGAACAAAAGGCTCATTTCTCTTTTCAAAATGAAGTTGATTGTGTCTACCCTCGTAGCTGCTTGTATTTGTTGTTCTTTACGTCGATGGGCTCAGGCGGCTGGGAGCTTTTACTTATGCGAGTGGCCATGCCAGGCTTTGTGTTTTTCAAATAAGGGGCAAAACTGGATTCCTTTCTTTTTTTTTAAATAATAGATGCAATTGTTTTGCACTAGCTGTTTACGACACGGAAATATGAAAATAGCTATTTTGCTTAGAGCTATCTCACATATTTCTTTTTTTAGATCCATCCCTGCAACGGCTCATGTGTTGGCTGCCAAAAAAAAAAATCTATAATTAGGAACATAACAAACATGTTTGCAAAAAGAAAAAAAGGACCACAAAACTTAATTTAGCCGTGCCTACTTACCCACTGAAGACTGCAGTTCTGTGTGTCATTTTCTCTCTCTCTCTCTCTCTCTGTGTATACTGGGGTATTTTCAATGCTAAAATCAGGGAACATTGGCCTTGCCATTAACGATACTTTCTCCTTCAATACTTTGTACATCCAGTCAGTGTGAAGGGTAGATGTTCTTCATGCAGATGTGTACAAAAACTAGATTGACTCAGCAAAAAGCTAAACCTTGCTTGTAGCTAACCAAGCGTTTTGAATTGCAAACCCAAATTTGCTGCTATGAAATAAGTGTATTTATCTTGGTAAGCACTGAAGGAAATACTCGGAAGGAACCCTGTTAGGATAGACCAATGTTTCTCAACCTTGGGATATCTGGACTTCAACTCCCAGAATTCCCCAGCTAGCGTGGGAGAATTCTGAGAGTTGGAAGTCGACACATCTTAAAAGTTGCCCAAGATTGAGAAACACTAGGGTAGACAATCTAGGTTCCTCCATAGATTGCTGGGCTTCAGATTCTGGCCTTCCTGGACAGTACGACCAGTGGTCAAGCATTATTGGAGTTGTAATCCAGCAGCATCTGTACATCAAAGTAAGCGTATTCATCTATTGTGCATATATTTAATGAACACTGAATATATTTTCTCAACGTGCTTCTATAGCAATCTTTACCCGAATCTTGCTGTTGATTCTATGTCCCCCCTCAAATCTGAATAGAATATTGTACAGCCTCTACTAACAGTACTTTAAATCCTTTTTCTGCACTGTCTTGTAAATAACTAAATACTTTTGGGGGAGTGTGTCGAGTATTTTGTTGCGAAAAAGCTTTATCCAGAAAGAGGCTCTGTCTGTGTTTGTCTCTGAGATGGTCAGCCCTCCTGTTGAAAGTTGCCGACTCTGATTCTTTCAGCCCTGAGAACTTCTTAAAATATAAATATATTTTTAACAAGCTGTCTCCAGCATCTCAATTCTTTGATTCGCCTTCAAAGTCATTTGTAAGTACGTTCCCCTTTCAAACCGCCTGGAGCTCATGCCAGGTCCCACCACTGAGAAAATAATTTTTAAAGACAAGCAACTGTTGAGTTTGGTCAGTTTCCATCCGTTGCGTCTTGTCCTGCCTTCAGGTGCTTTGGAGACTAGCTTGACTCCCTCTTCTTTGTGGCAGCCCCTGAGATACTGGAATACTGCTATCATGTCACCCCTCGTCCTTCTCTTCATTAAACTAGACATGCCCAATTCCAGCAACCGTTCCTCATATGTTTTAGCCTCCAGTCCCCTAATCATCTTTGTTGCTCTTCTCTGCACTCTTTCTAGAGTCTCAACAT